ACACTCACACACTCACACTCACACACTCACACTCACACTCACACACTCACACTCACACACTCACACTCACACTCACAAACACACTCACACTCACACACAAACACACTCACACTCACACACTCACACTCACACTCACACTCACACACAAAACAGAAAACAACCAAAAACATTGTGAAAATTATTGTTTATAACAAACAAATAATAACAAATATTAAATAACTGGTAACACTTTACAATAAGGTTCCATTAGTTCATGTTTTAACTAACTTATTGTTCATTCTTAGTTCATGTTAACTAAAGTAGTTAACTAATTATCCTTATTGTAAAGTGTTACCAAATAACTTATGGAATAAATATAGAGGCATATTCCAGCAAACAGTATAAATAAATACATGTTTTTGTCAAATCCTGTTGCACTGCATTGCCTGACATACATGCTGATTTATATAAATATCTAACTACAGAAGACCACAAAAAATATAGATGACTGACAAATGAAATTATTTCAGTCAGGAGATGCACTTTTTCACTGGAGGAAGAGTTATTATGGATTATTGACTATGTATTTTAGTTAAAAGCGTCTTAATGCTGGATGTGTTTCAGCTTTTGTCTTCTCCAGATGTTAACTGATGGACTGGAGTGCTGTGAATTACTTGTGGATTATTGTGATGTTTTTATCAGCTGTTTGGACTCTCATTCTGACGGCACCCATTCACTGCAGGGCATCCATTGCTGAGACACTGATGCAATGCTACATTTCTACAAATCTGATGAAGAAACAAACTCATCCTGATCTTGGATGAACTGAGGGTGAGCATGTTTTCAGCACATGTTCATTTTTGGGGGAACTATTTCTTTAACTTAAACCTCAGGAGACTTTAATTATATATTTGAGCTCATCTGGGAATCCCAGATTCGGATGAACGTCCTCATGCTCTCAGCGTTCGTTCAGTTCCTGCTGGTATAAAATCTGCTGCAGCCTTCCTCATACAGTATGAGGCTGATCTGAGATCAGATCTCAGCTGACCTCATCATCTGCGCGTGGTTCTCAGAGAGCTCTGGTGAACGTCACAGATGTCGAACCACTGCTGCTCCACGTCTCTGCGGGGCATCAGGCTGTTTGGTGGCAGCGAGACGCTCCGTCTGCGATCTCTGCCGCTCACCATCCGCCAGAACCACGAGCCCTTCAGCAGGAATACCGTGTTGTGTGAGTATGAGAAATACGCAGCGTCCAGGTTACCGACGGGATGGTTACTGGGGACAACGGCGGGAAACACCTCTGTGATTTTTTGTGGGGAAGAAGAAGCCAAGCGGTTCGCGCGCACATCAAACCTGAACACCTGCAAATTAATATTGTGCAATTACTATCGTCCTACTAAATCTCATTGGACACTGGAACTATCTAGTTTGTCATTTATTTTTCATCTTGCATGAATATTAGCAGCTGTTACCTGTGAGCCCTTGAAGAAGTAGATGTGAGTATCCCTCCGGTCGTAGTATGCAGTGTCCACTGGTCCAGACACGCCGGGAAAGCCTTCAGAGATCAGACGAGGATACGAGCGGCCGTCTGAGTCTTCAGTGAACACCTGATCGTTCTCACTGTCATAACGCCAGTACTGCACACCTGAAACATCACAACATAACATCAATACATACATGCAAACATCTAAACTACTGGAGAAATAGTGTAGTATGCACTTCGGTACAGTAGTATGCAATTCTGAATAAAAAAAAAAACGTTACAGTGCTGAATCATTAAATATTGAATTAAATATATCATTATTAATTGATTAAATCTAATAAGTGAACAAGGACCATGCAAAATACAAATGCACAATGCAAAAAACTGCAAAATACAAATGTGCAATGCAAAATTATGCAGAATGCAAATGTAAAATATGTTTTAAAAAATGCAACAAAAAAAATGTACAATGCAAAATAACGCAAATGTAAAATATGCAACAAAAAAAACCCTGCAAAATGAATATATACACAATGCAAAATACAAATATAAAATAAGCAAAATATGTAAAAAAACAAACAAAAAAAAACCTGCAATACACAAATGTGCAATGCAAAATAATGCATAATATAAACATGAAATATGTAATAAATAAATAAATAAAATAACCGCAAAATACAAATGTACAATGCAAAATTATGCAGAATGCAAATGTACAATATGTTTTAAAAAATGCAACAAAAAAATGTACAATGCAAAATAATGCATATGCAAAATATGCAAAATATGTAAAAAAAAAAACTAAAAAAACTGCAATACACAAATGTGCAATGCAAAATAATGCACAATATAAACATGAAATATGTAATAAATAAATAAATAAAATAACCGCAAAATACAAATATAAATTATGCAAAATATGTAAAAATAATAAAATAATAAAATAACCGCAAAATACAAATGTACAATATGTATATAAAAAATCCCTGCAAAATACAAACGCACAATGCAAAATAATGGGCAAAAAACACTGCAAAAATACAAAATTCAATGCAAAACAATGCAAAATATGTAAAATATGTAAACTGCAAATGTACTGTTACAAAAGTACACTGTTAGCTGTTCACACAGAGTTTTCTTTTTGAGATGCAAATAAGCTTGTGCTTGTGCTGTCTATGAGCAATGCATCTCTTTTAGTCTTTCAGCTAAGATTGTGCTTTTGTACCGTCTCAGAGGCATATGAATAAACTCATAGTAAGTAAATAAATACCTTTAAAGAAGTAGACAGCGTCTGCTTTGCGGTTCCACACGTGAACGTAAGCGTCCACGCCGCTGGAGGGCAGCCCGTGCCAGCCCACCTGCACCGCCACCGGGTCCCCGTAGCGCGTCCGGTTATTACGGTTCTCATAGAGCCAGTACCAGCCGTCACGCATGAAGTAGGTGTTAAAACGCACCACGACCTCGCCGTACGGCGTCTGCTCCTTCCTGATCCAATCAAACACGGTGCTGAAGCGGCCCTTACACACACCTGACAGAAAACACACACAAAACCAATTACATTTCTATTTATGTTGTAAGAAAACGAAGCATGCTTTGTTTGCATTGTGGGATTATATTCATGACAATCAAAGACATTTCCAACTCAAATTCTCATTAGTGTAATATAAAAAAAAATCTCATTGTCATTTATGCATAACAACCACACATGTACAACAAATACTATAATATTGCATACTGTACTTAGGCTACTGTATACATAACAGTAATGACAAAATGTGTTTGTTATGAAAACTGTCTCATAATGTGTAGAAAGCTTAAAAATAGGCATCATTTTCTGCATATATATATAATAATAATATAATAATGCATATATATAATAATATTATAAATGTAATCTCTAGTGCTCACCGTACAGGCTCTGAATAGATTTCCGGTCCATCCAGTCGATCTCAAAGCCGGCGTCCTGAGGAAGGTAACTGGGCTGCATGATGGATTCGGACCGGTAGATGTGAGGAAGCCCTAAAACGTGACCGATCTCATGAACCGCTACCTGAATGAAACACATGACATTCAGTGATGCACATCAGTGATTCAGGTCAGTGATTCAGGTCAGTGATTCAGGTCAGAGATTCAGAACAGAGATTCAGAACAGAGATTTAGGTCAGTGATTCAGGTCAGAGATTCAGATCAGTGATTCAGGTCAGAGATTCAGAACAGAGATTCAGAACAGAGATTTAGGTCAGTGATTCAGGTCAGAGATTCAGATCAGTGATTCAGGTCAGAGATTCAGAACAGAGATTCAGATCAGTGATTCAGATCAGAGATTCAGATCAGTGATTCAGGTCGGAGATTCAGGTCAGAGATTCAGGTCAGTGATTCAGGTCGGTGATTCAGGTCGGAGATTCAGGTCAGTGATTCAGGTCAGTGATTCAGATCAGTGATTCAGGCCGGTGATTCAGATCAGTGATTCAGATCAGAGATTCAGATCAGAGATTCAGATCAGTGATTCAGATCAGAGATTCAGATCAGTGATTCAGATCAGAGATTCAGATCAGTGATTCAGATCAGAGATTCAGATCAGAGATTCAGGTCAGAGATTCAGGTCAGTGATTCAGATCAGAGATTCAGGTCAGAGATTCAGGTCAGAGATTCAGGTCAGTGATTCAGATCAGAGATTCAGATCAGAGATTCAGGTCAGAGATTTAGATCAGAGATTCAGATCAGTGATTCAGATCAGTGATTCAGGTCGGTGATTCAGGTCAGTGATTCAGGTCGGTGATTCAGGTCGGTGATTCAGATCAGAGATTCAGGTCAGTGATTCAGGTCAGTTATTCAGATCAGTGATTCAGGTCGGTGATTCAGGTCGGTGATTCAGATCAGAGATTCAGGTCAGTGATTCAGATCAGAGATTCAGATCAGTGATTCAGATCAGAGATTCAGAACAGAGATTCAGAACAGAGATTCACATCAGAGATTCAGGTCAGAGATTCAGATAAGTGATTCAGATCAGTGATGCACATCAGAGATTTAGATCAGAGATTCAGATAAGTGATTCAGGTCAGAGATTCAGATAAGTGATTCAGATCAGAGATTCAGATCGGTGATTCAGGTCGGTGATTCAGATCAGAGATTCAGATGAGTGATTCAGTTCAGAGATTCGGTCGGAGATTCAGGTCAGAGATTCAGGTCAGTGATTCAGGTCGGTGATTCAGGTCGGAGATTCAGGTCAGTGATTCAGGTCAGTGATTCAGATCAGTGATTCAGGTCAGAGATTCAGGTCAGTGATTCAGGTCAGAGATTCAGATCAGAGATTCAGGTCGGTGATTCAGATCAGAGATTCAGATCAGTGATTCAGATAAGTGATTTAGGTAATAGATTCAGATCAGTGATTCAGATCAGAGATTCAGATCGGTGATTCAGGTCGGTGATTCACATCAGAGATTCAGGTCAGAGATTCAGATAAGTGATTCAGATCAGTGATGCACATCAGAGATTTAGATCAGAGATTCAATTCAGATCAGTGATTCAGGTCGGTGATTCAGGTCGGTGATTCAGATCAGAGATTCAGGTCAGTGATTCAGGTCAGTTATTCAGATCAGAGATTCAGGCCAGAGATTCACATCAGAGATTTAGGTCAGAGATTCAGATCAGAGATGAACAAGCGTCTGTTTCAGAGATTGCAATAATAAAAACATGCTTACTTGAGTTTTGCATTGTATTTAATTTTCTGCATCATTGATGTCAGTGAGCATTTATTGTTTGTTTGTTTTTTTTAAATCAGTGCTTCTTTTACATTGTATTGGTGACCTTACAAAATGTAAGATTTTTACATGCAAAAAATGTCTAAAAAAATCCTAAACCTACTCAAACATCAAAAATGGATTATTATTACAAAACTGCAGACCCACCAATATGCACAAACATTGACATGACAAAGTCTGAAAATTAAAATTATTTTACGATGCAATTTATTGAAACAATATATTGTATAATTATAATTATTATAATATAATTATCTTAATTCCTAATCTTTTTTAAATTCCTATTTTCTTAATCTTAAGTTTTCAGATTTCAAATGTGAGCCTGCAGCACAAAAGCAGTGTTAAGTCGCTGGGGTATATTTGTAGCAATAGCCAACAATACATTGTATGGGTCAAAATTATAGATTTTTCTTTTATGCCAAAAATCATTAGGATATTAAGTAAAGATCATGTTCCATGAAGATATTTTGTACATTTCCTACCGTAAATATATCAAAACTTAATTTTTGATTAGTAATATGCATTGCTAAGAACTTAATTTGGACAACTTTAAAGATGATTTTCTCAATATTTAGATTTTTTTGCACCCTCAGATTCCAGATTTTCAAATATTGTCCTATCCTAACAAACCATACATCAATGGAAAGCTTATTTATTCAGCTTTCAGATGATGCACAAATCTCAATTTCAAAAAAATTGACCAGGGTCACATTTTATTTTACTTCTTATTTTTATTCCTATCTATCTATAATTTTACTGCATTCTGTACAGAGAGTCGTATCAAGCATTTCACGACACGTCGTACTGTGTATGTCTGCGTATGCAATGTTACCAATTAAACTTGAAACAATTTTTATAAATTAAAAAAAAATTTTACAGTGCAATTTTAGTTTAACCCTCTCAGCACTGTGATCATGTGTGTCTTTAAGTGTAAGTGAGCCTCGTCTGGTGTGTTTCGTAGTTTTGTGCGTGCTCTCGCGTTACCTTGAGAAGACTGATCCCGCTGCCCATGTTTGGGACGGTGAAATGTTCATCATCATCGAAATGAATGTCCCCGAGGAACCAGGCGTGAGCGAACTCTCGTCCCGCGCCGTCAAACCGCTGAGAGCAGCCCAGATGACGACCTGCAGGGGGCAGCAGAGGGTTCGGTGATGATCGTGCTAGGGGCCGTTCATTCATTTTTGCTTTGAAAAAAAATGCAAGGTCTCTTATTTTAATGCTGTTAATGTTGAACTGACCTGTCCCGAAGCCCAGTCGGATGTCGATGTCCTCCAGAGGCGAGTGAGTGTCCTCCACGAACTGCAGCGGAGAGACTTCGCTCCACATGCGGAAGGCCAGTCTGAAGATGTACTTCTGCTCGTCGATGGACAGCTGACTGCTGTAACCTTCTCCGATCAGACGCCACTTCAGGAGGCTCTTAGAGAAGGCCATGTGTCCCGTCCAGGTGCTTGCGTCTCTCCTCCTCCTGCTCCTCAGAAGCGCCGCCAGGTGGCGCTGTTTCCGCACATGAGGTTCAGTATTATTGGCTGCATCACTGGCATTCACTGCAGCATCAGTGTGAGTGTGTGTTGTGGTGCTGTTGGACTCGAACACTTGTTCGGGAGACTCTAGCTCCTCATCCCGGTCCGGGACGCCACACCTGGGTTTATTCATGGCTGCTTTGGTGGCATCATCAAACACACCTGTGACGGGCAGACCGGACACCTGCTGGAACTCCTTCAGGGCCGAGATGAACCGGAGATCAGGGCTGCCGGATCTGGACGCGGTTCCTCCCTCCTGAAGGTCCAGAGAGAGACTGACCTCCGTCTCACCCGCTGGGAACGAAGGCTCATCGCCGTCTGTGGCCTTTATGAAGCCATACTTAGACAGAAACCGCTGGAGCAATGCAGAAACAGCCAGAGATCAATATGTTTGTCAAGAATCAACACTGAGGAGAATATACACTTGAATATAATTACATGATTTTACATGCATAAATGTAAATACAATTATAATAATTATAAAAGTAACATTTCAATGTTTTTTACATTTCTGCTCATCTACACCAGGTAGAATATACACTTGAAAATAACCATAATATTTAAATAAAATTAAAATAATATACTATTTAAATTAAAGTAATTATTATATATTAATATAACAAGTATATAAGTATAATATACACACTGCCATTCAAACGTTTGGGATCAGTAAGATTTGTAATGTTTTAATGAAGTCTCTTCTGCTCATCAAGGCTGCATTTATTGGATCAGAAATACAGAAAAAATAACGATATTGTGAAATATTATTGCAATGTAAAACAGCTGTTTTCTATGTGAATCTCTGTTAAACTGTAATTTATTTCTGTGATGCGCAGCTGTATTTTCAGCATCATTACTCCAGTCTTCAGTGTCACATGATCTTCAGAAATCATTCTAATATGCTGATTTGCTGCTCAAGAAACATTTCTGATTATTATCAATGTTGAAAACAGTTGTGCTGCACAATATTTTTGTGGAAACCGTGATACTTTTTCAGGATTCTTTGATGAATAAAAAGTTCAAAAGTTTGGGGTCAGTAGATTTTTAAAATTTTTTTAAAGAAATGAATGCTTTTATTCAGCAAGGATAAGGTCACTTAATCTAAAGTGGGACCAAATATTTGAAAACAGTTGTGCTGCACAATATTTGTGTGGAAACCGTGATACTTTTTCAGGATTCTTTGATGAATAAAAAGTTAAAAAGTTTGGGGTCAGTAGATTTTTAAAAATTTTTTAAAGAAATGAATGCTTTTATTCAGCAAGGATGTGTTAAATTGATAAAACGTGACAGTAAAGACATATTGTTACAAAAGATTTCTATACTTTATACAGATAGATAGATAGATAGAGACCTGTGCAGTGTCGGTGTCGGTGATGAGTTCTGCCTGACGGATGTCGTTCATCGCATCTCAGGATTCTTTGATGAATAAAAAGTTAAAAAGTTTGGGGTCAGTAGATTTTTAAAAATTTTTTAAAGAAATGAATGCTTTTATTCAGCAAGGATGTGTTAAATTGATAAAACGTGACAGTAAAGACATATTGTTACAAAAGATTTCTATACTTTATACAGATAGATAGATAGATAGATAGAGACCTGTGCAGTGTCGGTGTCGGTGATGAGTTCCGCCTGACGGATGTCGTTCATCGCATCGGAATGATCTCTGCTGTGGAAGACTTTCTCCGCGCTGATGATGAAGATGACGGTCCGGAGGATGAAGATCAGCCGGATCACAGCCAGCATCGTTAAAGCTCCGCTGCGCGTCTGTCCCGCACTGAGTGAGTGAGCGTCAACTCCACGCGCTTTATAGCGACGCGCTCGCGCCTCTGTGAGAAACAGCCGGGTTATTTCTACATAAAAATAAGCGAAGCAGAGAGACTGACAGACACGTGAATAAAGCTGCTCACCTGAAGCCACGCGACTCACACCTGCCTGAGAAACACTCACCTGTGTCATCATCACACCTGCGCTCACCTGCACCACCGACGCGCCTGGTTTCAGCCGTAAAACACATTTTAAACATTAATAAATAAACATGTAAATGTAATTTAAGCTAATTTTAAAGTTATTTAAAACTCTGCCCATCAACATTAAGTATATACACTTGAAAATAAATAAAAATTTAAATAATTTATTTATCATTTAAATTTCTGCTCATCAACACTTAGTAGAATATACACTTGAAAATAATATTATTTAAATAAAATAAAAATAATTATATTAAATCAAATATATTATTAAAAATTATAATTTTTTTTTTATTATTAAATGTAATTTAAAATGTTTAAATTTTTTTGCTCATCAACATTGAGAATATACGCTTGAAAATAATCATATTATTTAATAAATAAAAATAATTACAAATATAATCAAAAATGTAACATTATACTCATCAACACTGAGGAGAATATACACTTGAAAATAACTGTATTATTTAAATAAAATTAAAATATTTATAAATGTAACTAAAAATTTAATATTTTCAATTTATTTAAAATTCTGCCCATCAACACTGAGAATATACAAATCAATATAATTACACTATAATAAATTAAAATAATTATATATGTAATTAAAAAGGTAAATGTAATTTAAAATGCTGCACATCAACATTAATTGAGGAGAATATACACAATTAAGTTAAATTTTTATTTTATATTTCATCTTCCATCCAAATAATGCAAATAAAAGTCCTTCAGTTATTACAGCAGAAATAACATTCAAGCCACCATTTCACATTGATAACGTCACACTGAAAGTTACTCATATTCAACATAAAACACAGATCGGAGATTCCTACAAACAAAACTGAGCGTAAATCACTGATGATTCTGATGCATAAACATATACAGCCGCAAAACAGATACAGATATCTGTATGTAAGAGAGATATTAATGCAATAATTTATTTAAAAGCTCATTATTTATATGTAATATCTATTGCAAAAGCTTCCCAAATTGTCCTCTGCTCGTCTCTGGCGGTCAGGGGTCAGAGGTCAGGTGTGTAGGGCGTGTGTGATGGCGGCGGCGAGGTGTTTGGCTGTGGGTTTCTCAGCGCAGCAGCTGACCGTCAGTCCGTGCGACTGCAGCGCGTCTGCCGTGGTCGGTCCAATCGACGCAAACTGAAGAACACATTGATTATAAATTATATATAATATAATGATTCTATATTCTCTGAATCTGATTCATCCGAGTGAAAGATGCAGCGATGCTGTGTCGTACCTTTATCTGCTCCAGCTGAGATCCGGAGAGTCTTTTCACCAAATCCAAACAGAACCTCACTCCGGATGGGCTGAAGAACGCCACGCTCGCCGGGACGCCCTGAACACAACACACACACACACACACACACACACACACACACACACACACACACACAC